TACAAAACTCCGGTGTCGGGCAGTGGTATGATAGAACTACGACATCGGACGGTGGTCTGACAGAACTCCGGGCGTTAGGTTATGGTATGGCAGAACTCCGAGCGTTAGGTGGCGGTCCGGCATAAGTCCAGGACTCATGTGGTGGTCCAACAGAAGTTCGGGCCTCAGGTGGTGGTCCGGCAGAACTCCAGGCGCTAGGTGGTGGTTTGGGGGAACTCTAGGCATCTGGTGATGGTCCGGTAAAACTCTAGGGGCTAAGTGGTGGTCTGGTAGAATTCCGGGCTTCAGGCAGTAGTTCAGCAGAAGTCCAGACCTCAGGTGATGGTCCGGTAGAACTTTGGGCATCAAGTGGTGGTCATGTAGAAAATCGGGAGTCAGGTGGTGGTCCAACATAACTTTAGGCCCTCGGGTGGTGGTTCGGCATAACTCCGGGCACCATGTGGTGGTCGAGTGGAACTCCTGACGTCAAGTGATGGTCCTGCAGAACTTCGGGCATCAAGTGTTAGTCCTGCAAAACTCTTGGCATCAGGTGGTGGTCCGGCAGAAGTCTAGACCTCAGTTGGTGGTCCAGTAGAAGTCCATGCGTCAGGTGGTGGTTTGGCAGAACTCTGGGTGCCAGGTGGTGGTTTGGCAGAACTCTAGCATCAAGTGGTGGTCCGACAGAACTCCGGGTGTCAAGTGGTGGTCCGGCAGAACTCCGGGCATCAAGTAGTGGTCCGACATAACTCCGGACCTCATGTGGTGGTATGGCAGAAGTTTGGGCCTCAATTGGTGATCCTATAGAAGTTCGGCCTTAGGTGGTGGTCCGGCAGAACTCCGGATATCAGGGCGTGTCCCGAAAGAAGTTTGAGCCTTAGGTGGTTGTCCGGCAGAAGTCCAGACCTCAGGTGGTGATCTGGGAGAAGTCCAGATCTCAGGTGGTAGTCTGGCAGAAGTTCGTGCCTCATGTGCTGATCCGGTAGAACTCTAGGTGGTGATCAAGGATGCAAGGAGACAAGAGCGATCTCCGATCTCTCTCTTGTTTCCTTAGGCTTCATGGTCGCTTTTCAAGAGAAATGAGGGGTCTATTTATAAATTTCCTAGATTGGCATGTACCATAAATAGAATGAAGATCTAGGGTAAATGGGGAGTGGTTTGGATGGACGGCCGATGTTGAATCCTTTGATCGTGGACCGTTTGTTAGACATTTAAAGGTCTTAATGATGTCAGAATTCCGTGATTCAACTATAAGCTTTTCACGTTAGGAAACCGTTTATTAATCCAAATTGTGGTTTGAACCTTCCAACGATACCTCGGATCCTTGATTTGGACCCATTTGGGCTCGAATTGAGTCAAATTTGGTGTCGTTGGGTTCGTATTTCCAAGACGTTTTATTTGACTATAAGTATGCTGAAATCGGAGTTTGGATGGTCCCAATTTTTATTTCAAAAGTTTCCAACTTGATTTGTCCTCGAGATTCGTTCCCGATCAAGCTATTTTTTTATGATGTATCACTTCTTAATCGAGCATAGGTCATGTAATTCTCATTGAGCTCGAGCTTGAGCTTAACATGAGCTCATTTACTGTGCTCAAACTTAGCTCTTAAATAATTTTGAAGGTCAACTCAATTGCTCGAGGCCGTTTGGAAAGCTCGAGCTTAACTCGATTATTGACCTTAATTTCCTAATTTTATATAGATTTTTTTTTAATTTTTTAGAACTTTTTTTTACTTTTAATACGGATATAATTTAAAAAGGTTGAAATATATTATACAATACTAATTTAAATTAATTAAGTACCTTGACGAGCTTACGAGCTTGCCAGATTGAGCTTAAGCTCATATAATATGAGCTTTTGCTCCGATTTATGACTTAATAAACTCGACTCGTGAGCTCGTCAACGAAAAATTAAGTTCAACCAAGCTCAGCTCACTTTCACCCCTCTAATATAGATGCAGGCATGCAAATTATTTTTATTCTGTTCATTAAATTAATGATTCATATCTTTCATGCTAAACAAATTTGACTATGATTTTCAGATTATCACAACTATAGAATATAGCATAAATTTGCACAAATCATTACCCACTTTAGACTTTTAAAGATTCGAAATGTGTCGTCCACAAAATTGTACAGGCAAATATTGTTAAAGATATGTTATCATAATAGGGAATTTACTATACGAGCTATTCATTTTGTACGGCTAAATTTATGATTACATAATTTAAGGAAGGCTACATGCCCACATCTGATAATATTTTGGTACTGTTGTTAAGTCCAAATTAAATTCACTCTGATTTAATTAGGAGTGTGACAAATAAGATTATAGACCGTTATCTTAGATGATTTGGACACATAAAATATCGGTATCCCCTTGCAGTATAAGAGGAGGAGAAGGAAGAGAAGAAGAGGAGAGAGAGAGTAAAAGAGAAAGGTTTCGGAGACCAAGAAGTTGAAATTAGCTGTCATGCTTGTTTAGGATATTGTGGAGGTATATTTCTGAACTCCTATCTTAGATTTCAATTATAGTGATTTTATTAAAAGTTATGGGTTAAATTGTCTTTTTCTCGAGTTTCATAATATTTCTACCGCGTAATTTTTGATATGTTTTTGTATTTCGAACAACTTAACTATAAAAAATCAAATTTTCAATTGTTAGTTTTTCTTAAATTTCGGAGTATATAAGATAATTGAGGATATTCTAACAATTGCATTAGTTATATAAAAACCTTAAAATATTCATGTGAATATCTCTCTAAAGTTGAAATTTGAGCATAAAAAATAAGAAAATATATTATTATACAAACTATATGAATTCTTACTAGCAATTCACGCATCATATAAGCACTATATTGAAAATATAAATTAATAGTGTTTCATTTTCATTTACACTAATCATAGCATGACATTATAGATATTGTGATATGTGAAAAATGCACTATTTGATATGTTATAAGAGCCATATATGTTATGTTACGTTATGGCCTCATCTGCCTTTTGTAGATATGAGAGAGATTTTGACTTCACTTATTGAAAGCGAATGTGGTGATTGTTTGGCACTATTCTATTATGATTCTATCGTCACTTGCTATATGTAGATCTAGGAGATTAAAGTGCGAGATAAGTAGAAGTTGGGTTATTACCAGGTACTGAAACATGTGCATTATAAACATTACGTACATTACATATGCTAATATTTTATAATTAAAATAAGTAATATTCTTAAGTGAATGTTAGTAATTCCTGAATTTTGTATGAATCTTAATGAAATGTAAAAATCAAGTACATCTGAACCTCTGATAGCAAGTGTTCTGTGATATATTTGAAATTTTTATAAAAGTGACTCTAAACATATAAGTGAAAACTTTGTAATCAAGGCCACATTGAAACCCTAGAAAAATGTGTTCTACTTATATTTTATTTATTCTTTATAAGTCATTATATTTTTAATTAAACACTTATTTAAGATGTTAATTTGGATATTGATAGTTATGATGAGTTATGAGAAGAAGTCTATTGAGGTAGTTGTACTCATATTATGAATCTTTCTAACATTTCAAGGGAAAAAAAGGCCCATCAGAGTAGAAATGAGAGTAGAGGCAGGTTCTTCTTGATCTAAGTGGAAAGGTATTGTAATTCATTTTTTAATTATTTTGATGTATAGGTGTGACTGACAAAATGGAGTAATGTATATGCTTTGAAGAAATGAAATGAAAGGTGTTGAACTGCTTGTATTATCAAATGCGCCTTATTTTTTTATTAATTATTGTTCTTATCACAAAATGTATCAAAATGTTGTCCCAAATAACACCTAAATTATGAAGGATGCTGTTCAATAGCGAGCACAAGTCCAATTAGGGGTGTCAATTTCGGGTCACGAGTTGGGTTCGGGTTAAACCTGAAACTGACCCGGGTAGACAAACGGGTCGGAAATCCGAACTCGGACCCGACCCGGCGGGTTGCCGGGTTGACCCGACTCGACCCGGTTTTGGGTTCTGTCGGCGCCGGAATGTCGGAACGGCGGCAGGCGGACGGCGGGCGAGGGGGCGGATGCGACACGCAAG